ACCCAGTATCCTATCTTGTGGGCCTCAGTGGGACAACTGGCCACTCATGCTACTCTCTGAGTATGTGGCTGGATTTTGGCTGCCTGGGGGTATCGGGTAGGCCTTTGGGGAAGTGCATGGACTCCTCAGGTTTTAGTGCTCTACAGTGCTCCAAGAGTTGAATAGGGCTACAAATGGGCGATGCCTTAGGCTTAATCCACCTCCAATTGGGGTTAGGAGTTCAGGTTTCTATGCTCAGCTAGAATCTTGGACAGTTGTTTAACTTCTCTGATTCAGAGTTTGACTCAGTTGTTGAATGGAGATTATACTAGCCTCACCTTGAAGGTCTTTATGAGGATGAAATGAGATAATTCTTTTTAGTATAAATATACACATTTCTAATTATCATTAGCCTAAAGCTTCAGGATAATTCCTGGGTGTTCTGGAAAGTTTTATCATTTAGAATCAGTCCAAGCAGGATGATTACAATCTCACTATACTGACTTTTTGTTTTCTTAATAAACTTTTAATTTTGCAATAATTTTAGATTTACAGAAAAGTTCCAAAAATAATAGAGCATTTTTGTATGCCCTTCATCCAATTTACCAATGTTAATATCTTATATAACTATGGTCCATTGTAAAAATTAAGAAACCAATATAGATGCATTACTATTAACTAAACTACAGACTTTACTCAGATATTACCAGTTTTTCTGGGAATGTCCTTTTTCTGTTTCAGGATTCAATCCAAGAGATACCACATTAAATTTAGTCATCATGTCTCCCTAGTCTCTTCTGATCTGTGATAGTTTCCTTGTCTTTCACTCATTGCCAGTTTTGAGGAGTACTACTGGTCAGGCATTTTGCAGACTGTTCCCCCATTTGGCTTTGACTGATTTTTCTTCTCATGATTAGATTTTGATTATGGGTTTTGGGGAAGGGGGAAATGCTTTTTTCATCATATTATATCAGAGGGTACATGCTATCAACATGATATATCACTGATGACATTAACCTTAATCACTTGGTTAAGGTGGGATCTACCAGGTTTCTGTACTGTAAATTAACTATTTCCCATTTCCATAATCTATTCTTTAAAATAAAAGCAACTCACTAAGTTCAACCCACATTCATGAGAACCAGAATTAAGTTTTTCCTCCTGGAGGGAGGAGTATCTACATATATTATTTGGAATTCTTCTGCAAGAAAGACTTATCTTTTCCCCCATTTATGTGTTTGTTTAGTCATATCATTATGGACTTGTATTTAATTATTTTATACTTTGAGTTATACACCAACATTACATTATTTTGTTGTTCAAATTGTTCCAGCCCTGGCCACTGGGAGCTCTTCCATTTAGTTTCTTCCTATGTTTCTTGGACATACCCCATCATTATGGATTTTGGGGAGTTTGTGTGTTTTGAGCACTTTCTTACTTTCGGACTATAGATTATCCCCCAGACTCATCTTGCATATTCACTGCCCAGCCCTAGAATCAGCTGTTTCTCCAAGGACTCAGGTTCCTTTTATTGAGGAATGAGTTAGAAATCAAGAATTGTGGCTGTTGTTACTGACTGATGGAAATGTTTGGAGTCAGAGAGATATGGGTTTTTACTAGTTGTGTTACTTTGAGCTGGTTACTTTGCCACTTTGGGCCTTGGTTTCCTCATGGATGCATAAGAATAATGAAAATCATTCACAGGATTGTTATGAGATCATGTAGAATAACATTGAAGGGGATTTGTGAGGACAGAAGGCTAGATATTTTTAACCAACCTACCTGCTGAAAACAACCAAAATAGTTGAGAAAAATATGGAAAACATTTTTAAAGCATCAATTAAACAATCAAGCCAAAATTTAAGGAAAAACAGGAACATACAGGAATAAATAAGAAAATCACATTTATCTTGAAAGTGTTTGCCACTACCAGCAAATATGAACTTTCACTTTGACACTTGAGTTGGGGAGGGGGGTAGGAGATAATGATAATGATAGTCAAAAACCAGGGCCAGCACTATGCAAGAAATTTAATAGGATCCCCTTACCATGATAAGATGGGATGCCAAAGAACTATAATCCTGGGGGAGGGTAAAGAAATACTACCCTGATTGAAAGTATCTGAGTCTTCCAGAAAACCTCAAGCCTTCAATTTGGTTTAAGGTGAGTCTTGAACTGAGAGTGATTTCAGAGGTCTTGCAATGGGAAGTTACCTTATATTTGGCCTTCATATGAATCTTATACAGTATTTCTCAAAAAAAAAAAAAAAAAAATGACCAACACACAAAAAAGAAAACCAGACACATACAAGAAGCAACAGGCAAAAAGAGAGACCTGTAAAGATTTAAGGTACTGCAATTATCCTCTACAGACTATAAAACAACTTTGTTGCAATGTATAAAAAAGAGACTATATTGAATATATCAGGGGAATGGGAAACTAAAAAGTGATGTAAGATATAAAAAAGAAAACAAAAAAGATTTAAATAAAATTACAACAATTGGAGTTAAAAATTGGGGGAGGGGGGTTAACTAACACACTGGATGCATCTGAAGAAAGAATCAGTAAGCTTGAAAATATATCATGTGAAAACACCTAGACTAGTTTCAGTAATACCAAATGTCTCAGACTCTTTTCTTCTTTGCAAACACACTCCTATTTCTTCACGTTGTTGAAGAAAAGCTGCTAATTATTTCTCTAAAGCCTTGAGATCCCTGCAAAGGAGTGTGGTGGCAATGGGAACGAAAGGATTTGTGCCAGCTCCACTGCTAGAAAAGGGACTGAGTGAGTGACTGGCAGCTCATTGATCTGACAAAGAAGATGTTGAGGTATCCTATAGCTCCACAGATAAAGCTTGTTCCAAGGTGGCTGGCTCCTCCTTGCTTATCTTCTAGGCTGCTTTGATGATCCAGTAAATAAAAAGTGTAAAAAGCATGTTGTACTATAAGAATGTTTTAATATGCAAGTTTACTTTTTTAACTTAATATTCCTTTGATGTATTGTTTATCTAATTCCATATCACTGAAATACCTGGCATGCAGATTTAAAATCTTTTGGTATGTAGTATTTTAAAAAAATTATACAACACTCTCCTTTTTTCTTTCCAAAGTACACATTCTCCTTGTAAAAGGCAGTCTCCAAAGTTTGCTGCCATCAATTCTTTCCTTCCCTACGTGCACATCAAAAGGTGAAGTCTTTCCTCCAGCCCTGAGTAGTGCTGCCGTTGCCACTTCCTCTGACTTATAGAACTCAATCGGAGTAACACTATGTTAATCCTGGGCTTGGCCTTTAAGAAAACTGGAATCTCCCATTTTCTTTTTGGAAGCAGCCATCATGTAAAATATTCAACCACCCTGAGACTACTGTTCGGTGAATAAGCCCAAACTCGGCTACATGGAAAGAGACAATTGCCAGTTTGTTCCTGTCATCCCAGCTCAGGTTCTTATCATTCCACCTGAGGTGCCAGCCCTAGAATGAAGAAGTCATCGTGGGCACTTAGCCCCAGCAGACACCATGTGAAGCAGAAAGACTGTCCAGCTGAGCCATGCCCAGACTGCAGATCATGAGAAATGCGTCTATGGTTTGAATGTGGCCCTCAGAGTTGATGCATTGGAAACTAAATTCCCAATGTAACAGTATTGAAAGATGGGACCTTTAAGAGGTGATTAGGTCATGAGGGCTCTGCCTTCATGAATGGATGAATGCTACTATCACAGGAGTGGGTTTCTGATAAGAGGATAAGTTCAGCCCCCTCCCCTACTTCTTTCTCACTCCCACCCTCTCTTGCCCTTCCTCCTCCCCACATAGGATGACACCGCATGAAGGCTCTTGCCAGATGAATCTCATTGACCTTGGACTTTCCAGCTTCCAGTACTGTAAGAAATAAATTTCTTTTCTTTATAAATTACCCCAGTCTATGCTATTCTGTTATAGCAGCAAAAAATGGACTAAGATAAATAATAAGTGGTGGTTGTTTTAAGCCATAAGTTTGGGGTCATTTGTTACATAGCAATACATGACCGAAACATCATTATATATGCTTTTCTCCATAATCTGTGTTTTCCAGAACAGGAAAAAGATTCTTCAAGGTTCTTCTGAGTCCATTGTAGTCTGGCTCCTGTACACTTCTCCAGGTTTTCATCAGACAGGTAACCCTTCGTTGTTTCTTAACATGTCTGTCCGAAGTACTCCCATTTCTACAAGCCTGCTCACTTTATCAACTCTGTCTGAAGGTTCAGCTGCATTTCCCCCTCTCACCAAGACTACCATCTTCCCTTGTCTTAATTTTCTACTCTTCAAGGCTTAGCATAAGAATAACATTCACTCCTAACATTCTCTGAACTTTGAATTTATTCCTGTGGCCAAATTTATTTAAAAACCTCTACTCCCCAGGAGAGTGTTTGTGTTTTTAAAGTTGTTTTTGTGTTCCCAAATACAATGAGCTCCCTTGAATGAAGAGACTGAGGCTTATATCTGTTTGTGTGTCAGCATTTAACAAAGGAACTCCAGAGAAGAGGTACTCAGAGGCTTGTTCTACTGATGAGTATGCTGTTTTGCATTCTTTTTCTTTTGAGTAGTATGTTGGTGGTGGTTCACTGGCCCCACCTTCATTTCCAGGTGCTCGTTAGCCACCATATTGAATTCCGGTGGCTACCACCGACATAAAAATACCACAGTTCTTTCTTCTGAATACGAAGAATGAGGTACTAGATTTTTGTAAGAAGTAGGAAAATAAAAATCATTAATACTCTTTTTAAATCCAAGACAAGGAAGAAAACTCTTTGATTCCCTCCTCTGCTTTTCATGTCAGGAAGTTCTTGCACGGTGAGTCATTCTCTTGTCACTTGAACTCTGGAGTGTAATATGATCATGGTAGGCAATGAAAACATGTATGTGAAGTCCTCAAGGTATAAAAATTCTTGAGTAGAAACCATCAATGGATCGCAAGACTGTTTTCTAAGAAAGCAAGGAACCCAAAACTGATGCATAAAGGGTTTCTTCTGCACTCCAGGGATGCTTACCTGACTCCTGATCCTTCTGCTAGCCATGGGAGTCAAGAATTTATGTTCCAAATACCAGGCTCGCTCCTGGAATACCAGCTTGGTTCCGTATAACAGACAAAACTAAGGGGTGAGGGAAGATGAAAGAAACAGACAAATGGCAATGTATTAGAAAACACAGACTCTAAGAAAATGAGAGATAAATAACATAATATTACATTTCATAAAATCATACAAGTTAGTACTTTCCTAACGTAAAATGGCCATGTTTTGAACATGTGATATATATGTTTTATGTTTTAAAACCACTCTATGGAAAAGTCAAAGTATATACGAAAGTAGAATGAATAGTATAATGAGCTCTCAAGTATCCATCCCCTAATTCAAGCAATATTAACTCACCATCAATTTTATTTCATCTATAACCTCACCCAGTTCTCCCCAGCCCAGGGTATTTAGAATCAAGTCCACACATAATTTCTTTTAAAACATACATGTAGTATTGCTGCTTGTCTTTCTTCTCAGTTCATGAAAGAATACTCTAAATGTACATTTTGAATAATATCATCTTGATATTTTCCATTGAGCATGGTTTGATTAAACTTGCACAAAAAGTAGCATTCCTCATTTATGTTTTGTTTCGATGCATTTTTCCTATCACATTTCTGAAACCTACACACAGATCTTCTGTATGACACCATGGGTACCAAGAAAAAAACAAATGAGTTTTCCTATAGGAAGAAGTATGTTTTTAATGAACTGCTTATTCACTTAACTTTTAATACTCAGTAATTTCAAAATCACACAAAAATAAAGAACATTGTACAATGGGCCTTCATGTTTCCACCACCCAGCTTCAAGAGTTATCAACTCATTGCCCATCTTGTTTTGTCCCTACTTCCACTCACTTTCCCTTTCAGTACTATTGTGAAGCAAACCCCAGTCGTACCATTTTATTCATATACATCTCACTGTGTATCTCTAAAAGATAATGACTCTTTAGAAGTAAGATGGCCTCAAAATCAAACCAAGCAATGACAACAAAATCTTCTTATTCTGAGCCAAATGGAGATGCTTTCCACATCAGAAGTCAATATGTCTTCTGTGGACTACCAGCCTGCGGTTCACAGTCATGTGGACAATGCAGTCTCTTCATTCTTTTCTTGAGGTTCTCGCATATCCTTTGAACAGCATCATGATTGAGAGCCTCAACTATTCAGTCTTCCCAGAAAGGGTTGGAGCATGGCTTAGCAGCCTATTTATGAAAGATATTTGAGATTAATTATAACTCTTCTACAAAATTGCCAAAGCCTGGGAAGTAGTTGTTTGGCCAGTGTAAGCCTTCTTTGGCTCTTTTATGTAACATCAGTAAAGATGTTAGCTGACCCTATAGACACTGGAAGAGCAACCGAAAAATACTGCAGTTCATACTGAAAACATACATTCTTATAAAAATAATAAATCATGTATATTATGTGGCTAAACTGAATTATAAGTCTCTAGATGAACTTCATATACACCACAAAGATATTTGCTGTGAGTTTCTAGGTGCAGAAAGCTAATTGTCATTTCTGCACTCAGACATACAAAAATGCAGGGTTGGTGATAAGAAATCCAGAGCCATAGAAGTACAGAGTTTTTAGAAATAATCTAGTACATCTTCTCAATTCAGAACCTTGCCTCAGCCAGCGTGAAACCAAGAAACAGAAGACACATTCACATTAGGATAATCCAAGAAGTGCTTCATAATATTTTCTATTGAGGTATCGACAAGATATAGGAGACCCATAAGGGATAGTGTAGTTTCCTGTAACTGGTAACTGTGGAGCTGCTGCCATCTCTAGGCTTGGAGGGTGGAGGGCAGGGAATGGCTACTAGATCCCGGAAGAGAGAGCCATGTAAACATGGACACTTTGAGAGGAACTATGACCCTTAGCCAAGGAAAACAGCAATCCCTAGGTGACAGGCCTCACAGGAAGACAAACAGGGAGCAGGGACATCCTAACTCCATTGTCTTCCCCCTGTACAATCTCTGGCTGTTATCTGAATCCAACTGGGTAGAGAGGGCAAGGATTCCATTGATGCAAGTGATGTAGGTCATTTGCCTAGATCCACACCAGGGTAGAGAAGAGTGGAGAGTAGAGCTGGAGAAGCAAAGGGTTAAGACGTCCATCACAAGGCGCATCTCTAACACCCCTGATTAAGGGTCATTCAGCATCTCGTCCACTCCCATCTGAGTCAAGCCAAAATCCACTTGATCACAGAGAGCCGCCAACTGCCAGCGTTCCCAGGCTTTCCCCAACTGCTGGCTTTACTCAGGCTCACACTGTGCTTTCTGAGTATACGAGGGGGGACTCTAAAAATAAAAAAAAACAAAAATTTTTTTGAAGGGCAGGCCCCTTCTAATTCAGGCTTCCACCACTAGGCAAGTGTTCTAGGAATCCATCAGCATCAGTGAAGCAGCTAGCATTGTTGTCAGAAGCTGCATTCAGCTTCAGTGAATTTCTTTTGGAAAAAAACTCAATGCATTTAACCCACTTCATAATGGGTGATTTATGAGCGCGCACCTGCCCACACTGCACTGGGTGTTCAGCAGTTTTTACTGAAAATAGCATGACCCTCGTGCCCAACTCTCCCTATTCACCAGATCTTGCCTGGGGTAACTTTTTTTTGTTTTCCTGGATGAAAAAATTCTCAAAGGGAAGAGGAAGAGGTGAAACAAAAAACGGCAGAAGCATTAAAAAGCATCAAAATTGACAAGGTCAAAAACTGTTTTGAGCAGTGGAAAAAGCATCTTGATAGGTGTATTGTATCAAACAGAGAGTACATTGAAAGTGGCTGAAATTTAGACATGCAAGAATAAATAAACAATTTTTAAATAAATAAATTTTTTTTAATCTCCCTTGTATCTATCTGCTCCTCCCTTCTTTGGGCTCTTAAATTGCTTTCTTGTTGACTGTCTGTGGCTCTCATGTACCTGATACTCAGAACCACTTTTCTGGCTTTACACTTTTGCTTTCCTCCATGAACACAGTTCAGACTCTCCTTAGGCTACCCTGTTTGCTTGTCCTGATAAACAAGAACCCTGGTTCCTGGTGGCTCTCAGAATACCACATCTAGGTACAGGTGCCATCAGCCCATCCTCAGTTCCTTAAACAGACCCTGAGACATCATTCTTTTCATGTTTTAGAGGTAGGAGCTCAATATTTTAAGAGGCGCCCAGTTCCCTAATGAGGTGTACTGGTGGAATAGCCTTGTGTCTGTAGCTACTTCTTTATGTAGAATATGAATTTATAGATTAACTCTTGAAGACAGGGATCTTGTATCTCTGTAAGCTTTAAGGTCTGGCAAAGGAACTGACACATTGTAAGAGATCAACTGAAATCCAATTTCCTATAACTAATGGATATTGATTCTATAAGTCCTGCTCCCTAAGGATCAAAGAAGGAGTCTATGAAAGCTTCTCAATAATAGTCTGAAGAGTCATAATAGCCAATATTTATTAAGCGCCTACTATATTTCAGGCACTGAAAAATATTTTACATCCACTCCATTTAGTCCTTACAATACTTCTGAAAGTTAGAAGTTATAAGTCCGTGCAGGAAAGGGTTCACTCAGCAGTCCTGGACTGCTTCTGCACAGTCCCAAGTTCTTCAGCATGACTTTCACATGGCTCTTGGGAGAGGGATTTTTGAGCCCTTGGAATGTCTTGCCTAATAGGAGTGTCTGTGTATGCCTGAGGCCTTGGGCCATGTCAGATAGTTTATGCTGAAAATGTAATTTATGGTGAAGGCTTATTTTTGTAGGTCTGGGCCTTTGGTCCATGCCATATCAGTATTACATCTGAGGAGCTCAGGTCAGTCATAGGAGTACTACGTGCTTATGTGACTGGTCCCCAGTAAAAACCCTGGACACCGATATTTAGGTGATCTGGTTGGCAATACTTTGTGCCTGCTGTCACACATCATTGTTGGGAGAATTAAGCAGTCTGTAGACGTCACTGACAGAGGAAAACTGAAAGCTTGTTGGTCTCTCCTGGATTCCACCTCTGCACCTTTTTCATTTGATGATTTTATCTGTATCCTTTTGCTATAATAACTATAACTATGAATATAACAGCTTGTCTGGGTCCTGTAAGCCTTTCTAGCAAATCACTGGACCTGAGAGTAGGCTTAGGGGCCCCTGACACAGGCCTCAATTTACACATAAAGAAACAGAGGCTCAAATAAAGTTAAAGAATAGAGCAAGGGTTGGAATTAAGTCTTTCACAAATAAATTTTTTTCTTTTTGTCTACTACATCATAGCAACTCCACTTTTTAGAATTTGAAAAACAAAACAGATAACTCTAAAGCTATAGGTTACGGGCTCCAGTTTTGGGTAACATAGAACAGATGATGTCCCCTATCTTTCTCACTGAATGCAGTCATAACTCCTGTTATACAATGATCAAGAGTGCATGGAGAAGCTTCTTGAGGATTCTGAAAAATAAATAGTGGCAGGCAGATTGAGGAAGAAGGGCAGAACTCAAAGTACTGCAAAATTGGAGTTTAACTCTTTTTTCTCATGCTACTCATGTCCCTGGAGGCATGTGTAGCAGAGTGGGATAACTAGACCCCAGTTTTTTTAACTGGAAAATAAAAGAAGATACTCCTGGGAGGTCACAGAGAGAGAGTGCTTGAGAGAGCAGCTCAGAAAGTTTATGAATTTCCAGGCTCAGTCCCAGGTGTGCATGCATGGATTTGATGCTAATTAACATACAAAAGACTTTGAGAACTGAACTAGTAGACAGACGAGAATCTGGGTACTGGCCAGTGAGTGGTACATACAAGGGACATATCTGAATAGTGCTGAAAAGGCTTTGAAGACTCAATTGACATTGGCACCACAGTGAACAGAAAGTGAGTTGAAACTTGCAGTCCAAACATAATCAAGGTACATTTTCTGCTTTAAAAAAAATCAACATTCTCTTTAGAACTTAAACAAGAGCCAGAATTTCATAGTATAGTATTCAAAATATCTTGAAAATAATCCAAAAATTTTCAGCATATGAAGGAAAAGGAAAATATAATCTGCATGGGAAAAGACAATCAACAGATACCAACAGCAAAATGACACAGATGTT